TGCTACTATTTATACCACCAATGGGCAGTTGACTATGCTGATGTGGAAGACTGAGTAGTTGATGTCTCAACCACCAAATCTTGAGCATTAAATGCGCTTCCCGCCAGAATCTGGGTTTCCCGCCTGATCTGTGGAGATGAACGTCCCCTTAGCCTGGGGCCTGCTCCTGTTGGCTCTTTGCAAGGGTTGTGGGCCGTTCGTATTGAAAAATATGAAGAGATCATGTAGCGTTCAATTCTTTCAGAGATATCCGGTGTGGGACTTTAATACTTTGTAGCGGTTTTAATGTAGTTTCTAAATATGTAAATTTTATTTAGTAAATGCCAAAATTTAATAAATATGAATAAGAAGATGAAGAAAAGAATAAAAGAGTCAATAGGATAAAAATAAAAAGAGAAAACTTTTATGGAGAAAAAAGGAAAAACTTTTAAAGAGAAAAATCCACACGTGTAGCTTAGTTGACTGAATGGTGAGAAATTAGGAGAAACAACCAAAATTTGAAACCCGCAGCGACCATGTGGATGTCAACTCCTGCACGCTGGGGATGGACTTCTGGTGCACACGGATATAAGGTCTCCCACCATTGAGCCGATCGAGTCAAATCCGGACGTGGAGGTCTTTGGGGTTGGGGATTTTGGAGGTTGCAAAGAAGAAAATACCTAAATAACCTAAAATAACGGATTAAGAGCCCATGAAAGGACAGAAAAAAGAGATTTAATGCTCCGTAATACGAAGTACGTGAGGGAGTCTTTGGTGATCCGGTTGACTCATTTTCGGAGGATGAATTTCCTAGTCATGTCCCGGAGAATGAAAAGAGGATTCCTATCTCGAAAATTGAAGATATTTGGGCTTCTGATTCAAATCAAGATATATGTTATAGAGCTTTGTTAGTTACACCGGGGAACTCCTTGCCTACACATAATTTAAATACTAAAAAAACACGTACAAGAAAAGGAATCAACGATCGCATCTTATAAGGACTAGATCCTAATCACGTTTGGAGATATCAGGGCCGTCTAGAGCAAAAATATCAGGGCCGTCTAGAACAAATATGATTTCAGTAGAATCAGCCAAATAAGCCGATTTTCATACTAACCTACAAGCTCTTATTTTAAAAATCATAGGCCCCTAAATTTTGGAGATATGAAAACCTGTCTAAACTACAAGGGTTTTTCTAGGAAGGGATTTATTGTTGTACTTTGGGTTGGAGTTTCTTTTTTATTGTCTTCTTTGTTCCTTGCACTTTCTGTATTGTGAGTATTTTTTATTTTTCGCTTGTTATCTTTTACTCCGTACTACGTAATAAAATTTATTTTCCCATAGAAAAACATAAAGGAAAAATCAATCAAACTCAGCAGTCAACACTCCCCATTTTTCAACATTTCCCTTCCGAATTTCTATGCTAGAGAATCAAGGAAACCGTTCTAGAAGCAATCTCGTTGCATTTGATGCTGAACCTCTGCGGTGGAAGTGTACGTATATCGAGTATATGTTTCTACGAGTAGGGGTGGGCGCGGTCCGGAACGGTCCGGTAAATTAGTAAAACTCGTAATGTATCCGTGAGGTTTTTAACGGTCCGGTTTCAAGGATGGAACCATTCGGTATCATGTCATTTCGGAATGGTACAAAACGGTACGGTACAATGCCACACATGCTAAAAATTTTGATCAAATCTTGCAATTAGTAGATATCGTCACACCAACCAACTCACATGAAATGTTGATATAAATTCAAGAAATTGCATATATAGGACTAAAATTCACAAATAATCAAATAGTGCAACACAAGTAAGAAAGAGTATAGCAAAACGATGACGCACGAGATAAATATCATCCTTAATTAACTTAAATTAGTTCATGTGAAAATATAAAAAAGAATATCATCAAATTGTTGAATATAATAGAAATCCTCAACGTTCTTCTTTTTCATTCTAGGTTAAATATTACTCCGTAGTTCTAATTTAATTTATAGTTGAACCTTGAGAATTGAGAGCTAAGATTTAAACCATATTAATTAAGTTGTAAAATTGAACAAACATGATACAACATGATTTCTCTAAAATTTTAATATTCTTTCAATACATACCAAAATATAACATAAATTATCAGAAAAGAAAAAATAACAATATATATACGTAGTATTATATATAAACAACACATTTAGCTATTTTAAGGACACATAAATACACACTTGGGCTATAAAATTGTTGGTCTATAAAAGAGATCTATTGAATTAGTATAGAAAAAAAAAATAAAAATTTCAAGTACATTATTTTCAAACGGTTCGGTCCGGTATTTTTCGGTTCTCAAAATCTAGGACCAGTCCCGTACCCATTTCAAATGGTACAGTTTTGGTACGGGACAAAAATATATAGAACCGTTTAAATACCTGGCATTCGGTTCGGTACCATTACGGGACGGTTCGGTGCCGGTTCGGTTCGGCATTATGCCCACCCCTACTTTCAAGGGCAAATTATATGGTACATCCGGGTGTATGTACACCCGGTTTTTTTGTAATTAAATAGCCTGAGCTTCTTCCTTCCGTGCTCCACTCACGCTCGTCGTTGGCCGCTGCTTTTTTTTTAATTCCCCTTTTTTTTCAGCGGCTCATCCATGTGTTATCCGCTGCTTCCTTACTCTTTTTTTTTTTGTATTCATTCGTTGCTTCGTTTTTTTTTTTGGTTGAACTGCTTCGTTTCTTTTATGTTTTACTTTTTCTTTTTGTTTTTTATTTTCTTTACTTTTGCTAGTTGATTTTACTTTCTCTTTTTTTACTTCTTTTACTTTCTTTATTTGTTGTTTACTTCTTTTCTTTTTATATATATTATACCGAGCACATTAGAAATGAGTTTTACCTTAAACTCAAATGAGTAAAACGCCTAAAAAGTGAACATACATGAATGAGCTTTTGAATTTTCGAATACTCATTTTTGTAATTAAATTATGTATATTCATTTAGTATCTCTGTTGCGCTCATTTTTAAAATGTTTTAACAATGCACATTTCAAAAGTCTCATATTACATTATTAGATTTATATAAGAGTTGATTATAGACATGAGACCACAATCATGATACTCAATCGCAGATTCTAATACTCAATAACGGAGGTTTGGTGCTCATTGAAAATGTCTTGATGCTCAACGAATAAAACTTATACTTTCCATATCAATGCTCATCTTGTAAGTTACATATGCTCATTTGTATAGGTCTGATGCTCATTAAAAATTCATTAATGCTCATTTAATACAAATCATTATTTCCATCTCAATATAGGAGGTTTGATGCTCAATGAAAATATCGTGATGTCCAATTAACGCGATTTTTTTATCAATGCGCATTGTGTAAGCTACACATGCTCATTTGGTACTAATTTTATGCTCATATGTAAAATGGCATATCAATGCGTGTGTAAAATGTTCAACGAACAAAACTTACAATTTTCATATCAATGCTCATCTTGTAAGTTACATATGCTCATTTGTATAGGTCGAATCCTCATTGAAAAGTCATTAATGCTCATTTTACAGAAATCGTGATTTTCATCAATCTCAATAGAGGATGTTCAATGAAAATGTCGTGATGTTCGAATAACAAAGCAGCTAACAAATTCATTAATACTCATTTTGTAAGTTACGTATGCTCATCTGGTAGAGATCTTATGCTCATTTTCTAAATGTCATATCAATGCATTTTTTAAGGTACTATTTTACATTAATTCACATATTGAAATTCACAGGAGTTGATTATAAATATAATTTAATAAGATTTTATAAAAGAAAAAATAACAAAAAGAAAGTGAATTAGAAGTTATGAAGTGGAGATCACGATTCTCAATATTAGACTCCTAATACTCAACAGATTGGGTATGGTGCTCATTAAATGTTTATTATTGCTCATTCACCTGAAATCGTGAATTTCATCTCAATAGCAGATGTTTGATGATCAAATATTAAATGTGAATACATAACGTGTGAAATGAGTATCAAAAAGTTCAAAATGAGCATTACGCCAATATGCATGGATATGACATTTAAGTTGTCTCGTGTAATGCTCATTTTAAAATGAGCATTACACCAATATCAAATGAGTATAGCTAATTTACGAAATGAGCATAGAAAAATTTTAAAAGCTCATTTAAAATCTCGAGTATGCTTAAATATCAATTTGTGTATTCAGTAAGCTCAACAGAATAGGTCTGGTGCTCATTAAAAGTTCATTATTACTCATTCTCCAGAAGTCGTGATTTTCATCTCAATAGTGGAGGTTGGATGCTCAATTAAAATGTCATGATGTTCAACTAAAAAACCTTACAATTTTCATATCAATGTGCACTTTGTAATTAAGTTATGTATTTTCATTTGGTACTCATGTTATGCTCATTTTTACAATGTCATATCAATGAGATGAAAATCACAGTTTCTATTGCGATGAAAATCACAGTTTCTGTTAAATGAGCATTAATGAACTTTTAATGTTCATCAGACCTATTATGAGCATCAAAACACTTTTGATGAGCATCAGGCTTATTAGGAACCTAACACTATATAAAAAAAATTATAAATATATTTATATAAAGTAATAGTATGATTCATAGATCAAATAAATACTTCAAAAATATGAATTAGTCTTTTAATATAGTAATAATGACCAAAAGCAAAAGAATAGTTAATATTATAATTACTATTAATAAAACGCAGTATGAAACTATATATGATAACTGATAAGTAAGTTAAAAGAACTAATTATCTCAACAAGAAAAGTCACTGAGATGGTTGGAAGGTTGCATACCTTACTTCGGGTCTGGGGATCGAATCCCGCTGGGGATTTTAATTTTTTTAATGAAGGAATACAGTTCCTTATGATTGTGATTCGTTGGGACAAGATGCAAGCCCACCAGTCAAATTTAATAATTGGGCCGGAGGTACGTACACCGGTGTACAATATAGGGGCTCAAATTTAATAATTGGGCATTATGCCCACCCCTACTTTCAAGTGCTTTTCTCTTACCAGAGGATATCTTTCTTTTGAAATTCGTTACCTTTCAACGCTTGTTTGCCCTCTCTTGCGAATATCTAATAGCATTTCTCCCAAGATACAATTTCATTTCAGGTGAAAACTGAAATTCTGATGCTTTTTACCTCAGGCTTTATTGAATTTCCTTTCATCTTGAATTGATTTTTACAGCCGCTGCTCATTTTCCTGCTCGATTCAAGAAAGTATTTGTGCAGATCAATCTCCATGCGATTTTAAGTTTTAAGTCCAGTTTGCTTTCTTTTCCTTTATATTCTTCTCCATTTTTTCGTTCAGGGATTATTTAAATATTGAATTGAATGGATGAGCCCAGTAGTTCCTCTGCAGTTCCTTATCGAGGCTGGAGAAAAGGCAAGTCCTTACGGATTCTTAGGTTTCTTTTGCTTCAGCTTACATTTAGATAAAAATATTGTTTGAATTAATGTTAAGGTAATTTGAACTAACAAAATGACGATGTAACTTCAACTTAAGTAGTCTGCCCATGACAATATAATCTGCCAACTACGCAAAAGTCTGCAGCATTGGTCAATCTATGCGCACCTCCTACTGTATGGACTTCAGGAGGAGACTGACTATGAGGTACCAATACCATTTTGTATCACACTAAACCAAACCAAACCAAACCAAACATACCGGTATGTCCCACTGGGTGGCAGGGTCCAGGGGGTGATGTGTACACTCCTTACCTCTATCCCTAGGATGAGAGTGGTTGTTTCAGTAAAGACAGCAGGCTTAGGACAAATATGGGAAGTATAGGAAGTTGTTAAAATTTTCAGAGCTCTTGAATATTTTAGAAGATTTTACCAAGTTTTTTGGAGTTGAAACAGCTACATAGTTCTTATGTTTGACACTGATAGGATCTGTAGTTGGCATTTCTTTATTTCCATGACTTGCAAATGATATATATCTTTGCTGAAGTTGGTTGATCAAAGTTACTAATCCTAATTGCTTCCTTATTGAAACTCATTCATAACTTGCAGCTGTGTACCAGTTTACGCAACAAAATCTCCCAGCCTGTAAACCTGTTTTAACACCGGCATGGGTAGGCAATCAAAATTCTATGCTTTGGTATTTGGTATGTTACTATTGTGATCCTTTGCTCTATCATCCTTGCAGGTTATTTCAACATTTTTCATCATAGGATTCATCTTTATTCCCATGGGGCTTTTCTTCCTTCATACTTCACAAAGTGTAATAGTTTTATTTAACATCTAGCGATAGTAATCTGGAGTTTTCTTTATCTTCTTGCTCCATACTACCTTGAGGGTAATTATGTTTGTATTGCAGGTTGTTGAAATTGTTGATGGGTATGATACTGAGTGTGTACCTGTACCATTTAGAAACAGCAAAGTGGCATATATCAAAGATGACTCAGTTTCCAAAAATTGTACCCGATACTTGAAGGTTATTTCTTTGTAACATTGTATCAGTCAACAAGCATACTAAATAAAACATTGTCGTCCATATAGATCCATATGATCAAATAGGACAAAGAGTTTACAAGAATATTCAAAACATTTTATTTATGAGCAAAAAATACGTTTTGAAATGTATATTCAAGACCGAAAGGGCCAATTGCAAATGGTGCTTGAGACTCAAATCTCAAGAAACAAGGACAAGATTTCTAATTGCAAATGATGCTCGAGACTCAAATCATGGGTTTTATATTACATTTATTTTACCCTGCATTCTGTTAACTTTTTGTTTGCATTTTCCTTTACAGGTTCCTAAGCACATGAAGGCTCCAATATATGTTTATTATCAGCTTGATAACTACTATCAAAACCACAGAAGGTGAGATTCTCTACTTGAACTTGTATGAATCACAACTATAACTTAATTACAATTGCCAATTGAATAATATGAAAAATAACAATTCTATTGCAAACGGAAATTGACATATTTTACTGTCATGGTATGGAAAGTATGCTTAGAAAATACTCAAATTTAGAAAGAAAAGATCACTGTACCCATTGAATGTAAAAACCTTGGATCATCCAAATCTAGTGTGATAATGAACTTGGCTCAATCATGCAATGATCCACTAGGGTTTTGAGAACAGAGTTTTGCCTACTCAGTGCATTAGTTGTCATGCTTATTAATGATTGTTAGAGATATTATCATTGTATTGTGATCAATGTTACTTATGCTTTTGTAGTTAGTTGAAATAAATAAATAGACTAGCTAGAATAATGAATAGGCCTTTTAAGGCAATTTGTAATAAAGGCTTTCATGCCTTTTTAGGTATGGGCCTCCTAGAAAAAGGAGCCCAAATGATTGTAAAACCTACCTTTCCCGTCAGGCTATATATATGCCTTAAGGGAAATGCTAGGTTAAGCTTTTCAACACATTCCTAGTGCCACAGTGCCTATTCTCGTGTAAGGTTTCACGCTAAACTTTCATATCATTCTGTAAAACCTTCACATCAATGGAAAGCTTCAAATCATAGATCTATCTTCCATACATACATTCTAGACTAGAAAAACAGGGACCTAACATCTGGTATCAGAGCCGGAGCTGATCGATCGATTGAAGGCTGAAAAACGCTCCTGCGCGATTCATCATCGTTGAAGTTTTGCACTTGAGCGATTTTTGGTTCTGTTTTTGTTGTTACTTTTGCAGGAAAATGCTTGAAGGGAAGTGTTTCTAGGCTTGCAGGGATCATTCCTGGAGAAAATTGCACCCTGAAACTCAGCGTACAGGCTAAGCGAGAGTTGAGCAATCCTGAAAGTTCGCGCAACTCCTTCGGAACGAAGAACAGGAACGCGCAACTACACTCCTGCGCGATTTCGAGTATCGCGCAACTCTTCCTGCGCGAACTTGGACTTGCACCTTTATTTTCACAGGTTGAGCGATCCCAACATAGCGCAAAAACAGCTCCTGCGCGATCTGAACTTCGCGCAACATACCTGCCCGATCTCAAACTTGAGCGATCTCTACACTTGAGCGATCCTCTTGTTGCGCGATTTGGAGGCTGAGCGATTTGGACTTAGGATTTTTTGTTGTTGAGCAATCTTTTAGCAAGTTGAGCGATCCTTTGAGAGTTGAGCGATCTTTTGTAAAAGTTGAGCGATCTTTATAAAGTTGAGCGATCTTTGTAAAGTTGAGCGATCTTTTGTAAAGTTGAGCAATCTTTTGTAAAAGTTGAGCGATCTTTTGTAAAAGTTGAGCGATCTTTGTAAAGTTGAGCGATCTTTTGTAAAGTTGAGCGATCTTTTGTAAAGTTGAGCGATCTTTTGAGTGTTGAGCGATTTTTTAGAAGTTGAGCGATCTTTGTAAAGTTGAGCGATCTTTCAACACTTGCCCGATTCCATACTTGCAAAGACCTACTTCCAGACATGCTCAAACATTAAGATAATCAATTCAGAGAAAACAATCACTAAGCTCACAACTGAAAATAAGAGACTTAGTGCTAGCGAAAAGGAAATGACAGAGAAGCTTATAACAACTGAGAAAGAGAGAATTAGGCTTTTTGGCGTCAATAATTTGCTAATGGAAAGAAGGGGTGCTCTTTATACTAAGATCAAAGAACTTGAGGATCTGTTAGCCAAAAGGGACCAAACAGATCAGACTATTTTCCTTAACCAGCCTAAGGACACTCGTTTCTATAACGCCAAAGAAGGCTTGGGTTTGACCAATCCTCAGAACCTGAAAAAGGTCAATTGTAGACAACTCTATGATGTTAAATACATGAAGATAGGTTTGACCAAACTCATGGCCTTCACTGGTGCTGAAGAAACGAATGCCCTCGAGGATGAAAAGAGAAAGACTAAGGCTGGTGTCGAGGTTCCTTTTGACTACACAGAGTTAAACAAGAGCTACAAAACCAAAGCACTCCCTTTGACCCCAGCTGAAGAAATCTTGACCTATCCTCCTGAAAAGGAAGCTGTGAAAGACGGAGAGGAGGCTTCCACATCTGAACCAATTGAGAAACCAGCTTACATTCCACCATTGGTGAGAAAGTTTGCTGAGTTAAAAGAATCTTTTGAAAAGGAAAAGCAGGTTTTAGAAAAAGAAAAGGATGAACTTTTAAAAGAAATAACCTCCTTGAAAACCGCCTCTCAGTCTAACACAGCTTCTCAACCCTCTTCCCCTTCTTGTTCTGAAAACACTTCTGAAAATTCAAGCGATAGTTGTAAGACTTCCTCTTCTCATCCCAAGTCTCATTCTCCGACAGGGAAACATGTGAAGAAGAGAGTCGAGAGGAAAGGAGAGTGGATTGAAAACAAAATAAGAAAGAAGAAGAGAGAAGAAGAGTCGAGATTAAGAAATAAGTGTCAGCGGTCGAGCGCCATATTTTATGTTAAGAATAAGTCTAGTTCTAGCATTAGTGAGCCTTCTACTAGTTATGCTAAAAGAGTGGCTCCTAAGTCTTCTAGTTCTAAGATTTCTGTCTCGAATCGCTGTACTAAATGTGTTTCTCTGAATTGCATTAAATCAATGAAATGTTGTTGTTTTGAGTCTGTTTCTTCTTGCAAAAGAAATGATCCTGTGATTGTTAAGAATGTTGCAAATAAGCCCAAGATTGATAGGGTGAATGTTGAGAGTGAGGTCAAATTGCCATTTTTAAAGTATCCTCTCAAGATTCACTCAGTCAAACATCTGAGAAGGCTATCACGTGAACCAATCTTGAAAGACCATTTATCTGAACAATCACTTAGGACAAATGAAAGTTCCCTCGCTCCAAAAATCAACCAAATAAAACAAAAATGGGTTCCTAAGGCTGAAGCAGAACAATTAAAAATGAAAAATTCTTCTCAACCAGCCAGCCTAGGATCCCAAATCAAAAAGAAGTTGAAAAAATTGCTCACTGTTGATAAGGAAGGACCCATCTGGTGATGGGTACCTAAGCGAAACTAATCTGTTTTGCAGGTCAGTCATGTGTGGCATCTTGATTCGGGTTGCTCGTCACACATGACTGGACAGATTGAACTACTGAGCAACTATTCTGAAAGGTTTGGAGGAAATGTGAGGTTTGGGAACAATGCTTCATCGCCCATACTTGGGATAGGAGATGTCATCTGTGAGAGCGTCACAATCAGAAACGTATCGTATGTGCAAGGACTGAAACACAACTTGCTTAGCATCGGCCAATTTTGTGATAATGGAATGGAAGTGAGATTCCATGCTAGGCAATGTTGTGTGATGGATATGAGTGGGACACCATTATTAAGGTGTCAGAGGAAAACCAATCTCTACACCATTGATCTGAAATCGGTACGATCCCCCATATCCATCTGTCTCTTGTCCAAAGCATCTGAAGAACAAAGTAATCTATGGCACAGACGTCTCTCACACTTGAATCTGCCAGCCATCAGTTCCCTCTCCTCGAAGAAGTTGGTGAAAGGATTGCCTGTTCTGAAGAACTCCCCCAACCATCATTGTTCTGCATGTCATTTGGGAAAGATGAGGAGAGCGTCACACAAGTCAAAACAATTTCCCTCCTCATCTCGTCCCCTGGAGCTACTTCATATGGATCTGTGTGGTCCGATGCGCGTGCATAGCATCAGTGGACGCAAATATACTTTGGTAATTGTGGATGACTACTCACGCTACACATGGACCAAGTTTTTGCGCTCCAAGGACGAAACTGCAAACTTAATCATGACGTTCATCAAGACCATACAGAACTATCTACAGCAGAATGTGAAGATCATCAGAACTGACAACGGGACGGAGTTCAAGAACAAGGAACTGACCGAATTCTATGAAGCTCAGGGAATTACTCAACAGTTCTCTGCAGCTAAGACACCACAGCAGAACGGTGTTGTAGAAAGACGGAACAGAACCTTGGTGGAAGCAGCCAGGACAATGCTGATACAGTCAAAGCTTCCTCACTTCATGTGGGCGAAAGCTATTAACACGGCTTGCTTCACACAGAACAGAACGGTGATCCACAAAAGATTTGACAAGACGCCCTATGAGATCGTGTTCAAGCGGCTCCCTAACATTGCCTTCTTCCGCGTCTTCGGCTGTAAATGCTACATTATGAACGACATGGATGCTAGGGGGAAGCTTGATCCAAAAGCAAATGAAGGGATATTCATTGGGTATTCTACCAATTCCAAGGCATACAGAGAAAGACAGAAGAACGGTCATGGAGAGTATCAATGTGAGCTTCTATGAAATGGCGGATCTGGCTTCTGAACATTTTCATTCTGAACCATCACCCTCTGCAGACAATGAAACTCCATCATCTTCTGGAGTAGGAGGGCAGGGAGGTGAGACAAGATCAGATGAGCATGTGGTTCTAGATTCTCTTTTTGAGCACTTCTACAGCCAACCACGTGCACCACCAACTACAAATGCTACAACCACTCAGCACCCCCTGTTACCTGCTCCAACCACTGAAGAAACCAACACTCCTACTCAGAATGATGATGAACACACAGAAAATGAAGCTGAACATGAACCAACCTCTCCTGTTAATGATCAACCTGAAGAAGCTGCAACGCACGAAACCCCAGAAGTACAACCAGAACAAGAATTTTCTGACCCTGATCATCCAATCATAACTCCACAGCCTCTACAGCACGAGAGAACGTGGACTAGAGCACATCCGCCAGAACTGATAATTGGAGATCCATCTCAAGGAGTCAGAACCAGAACGGCATCAGTCAATGAATGCTTATACTCATGTTTTCTGAGTCAGAAAGAACCAAAAAAGATAACTGACCCATTGGCTGATCCGGACTGGGTGATTGCGATGCAGGAGAAAATGAGCCAGTTTGAAAGATTAAAAGTGTGGACCCTGGTGCCAAGGCCGTACAAGAAAACCATTATTGGCACCAAGT